TAAATATGCAAAATATTAACATAAAAAGACTAAAATTAGCAGAAAATACCTAAAATGTAGCATAAAAAGCAAAGAGCAGCTGAAAGGAGCATAAAAAGACGAAGAAGCAAAAACGAGCAGGAAAAATGTTAATAAAAGTTTCAACTGCTGAAGCAGTTAAAAGAATTGCAGAACGAGTTGCAAGCCAAAAGACACGTGAAAGAAAAATGGATCTCAACAGCGTGAATGCTTTAGAAACATGCGCGCAGTGACTGTGCACGTGACGCTGCCAGCAGCTTTTGGTGACGGACAGAAACGAGTGCGTGACTCTGCTGGAATGAAGTGAAGTTCAACGCGACGTCACTGCTCGATTCCCGTAAGTTGTGTCGCAACACATTTTATGAATGGAGGAATGTCGGACGGGCAGCACGGTGGCGCAACTGGTAGAGCTGCTGCCTCTCAGTGAGCAGGTCCTTGGTTCAAACCCCGGTCCAGGGGCCTTTCTGGGTGGAGTTTGCATGTTCTCTCCGTGCATGCGTGGGTTTTCTCCGGGTACTCCGGTTTCCTCCCACAGACCAAAAACATGCATGTTAGACTGATTGGTAACTCTAAATTGTCCCTAAGTGTGAGTGAGAGAGTGAATGGTTGTTTGTCTCGTTTGTCTCTATGTGTCCCTGTGATGGACTTGCGACCCGTCCAGGGTGTACCCCGCCCCTCGCACAGTGATTGCTGGACATGGGCACCGGCGACCCCCGTGACCCAAAATGGAATAAACGGGTAAAGATAATGGATGGATGGACAACTTTTCAGGACTTTGTCGCAGAATAACTCCTGTAGGTCACTTATTTTAGATCACAGAAGAGAGCTATACACCATCTTTCATCAAACTCACGTTTGACAGGTGCCAATCAAATTTGACAGGTTAGACCCCAGAGTAATCTAATTACCAGTTCACATAGATGCAGATAATTTCTTCTTCTTTTGGCTTTTCCCTCTTCAGGGTCTCCACAGCGAATCATCTCCCTCTGCATCCTCTGTCCTCACTCCAACTACTATCTTTGCTTTTTCCTGGCAGCTGCATTTATAACATCCTTCTACCAATATACCCACTGTCCCTCCTCTGGACATGTCCAAACCACTGTCCCTCCTCTGGACATGTCCAAACCACTGTCCCTCCTCTGGACATGTTCAAACCATCTCAGTGTGTCCTCTCTAACTTTATCTCCCAGTTGTTCAACCTGTGCTGTACCTCTGATGATCTCATTCCTAATCTTCTCCATCCTTGTCACTCCTAAGGAGAACCTCAACATCTTCATTTCTGCCACTTCCAGTTCTGTCTCCTGTCTTTTTGTCAATGTCATCTGCAAACATCATAGTCCACAGGGATTCCTGCCTGACCTCACCTGTTAGTTGGTGCATCATCAGAGCAAACAAGAAGGGGCTCAGAGCAGATCCTTGATGCACCTCCCCCTTGAAGCTATCTGTCCTACCTTCCTTCTCAGCATCATGTTAGCCAGCTCTCTACATTTTCCTGTCATTGTTCCCAAATTTAGAGTTTCCACTCTGTCCTACATACTTGACTTTCCTCTTTTCCCTCTTTCCTGACATGTTTCCCTCCTCGTGATCTTCGACTAACAGTAGCACGGTTTCCTCCAGTGGCGGTCGTTGTTAACCCGGGCCTCGACCGATCCGGTGTAGTTTCACTTAGGTGATTAGCGCAGTTTAATTAGATTAATTTCTTACGAATGCAACTGAAATGCTCTTTTCAAGACTGACCTTGAAGGTCACTTAATGAGAAACGTGTAAGATGTAGCTTTATTGCTCCATTTGTGTGTGTGCACTTCACACATTAAGACCTTCTACCCTGCTACATCCTGTGTGTGTGTGTTTCAGCTACATCTGTGGGAAAAGGTAATCAGATGAGCTCTGGGGTCAAACCTGTGGACGTTCAGGTCAAGTTTGATTGACACCTATCAAATGTGAGTTTGACAAAAGGGGGTTTATATATATCACTCACAGATTTTAGTTTTTATTTTTAAAGAAAAGCAACACAAAAGTTAATTTTTTGCAGATTATATTGACGTTTATAGACTTTACGTTACAAATAACCTGAGATTTTACGTGAAAGTTTTCATGAGCTCAAGAAAAAGAGTTGTTTTTTTGGTTGCATCATTGCATTTCACAGAAGCCTGCCCATTAAGCTCCCACACTCGCCTGTTTTGCTGCAGCCTCTCCACCACAGTCCACATTCTGCTGATGCTGCTCCTTCGTCTCCACTGCAGTTGCGTCACTGATTGTTCACGTGAACCACTTTCCTCGTTTTACCAACATTCACATCAACAGAATTATTTGTGCACATCCTGCCAGACGTGTCAATCTTATGCAATCCTTTGACATACGACAAAACACGGATCATCTATGTTCCTCATTCTCTTTCCAGACCCATGGCGGGAACACCTCATGTTTTACTGTGCACATTTCTTCACTTCTCAGAGGGTGTTGCTGTATGATGTGTTTTCTGTCCAGATGTTGTAAAAGTATGCATATTTTTGTCCAAGTACTGCAAATAACAGAGATTTCATGTCTCTTCCCACAAAGCCCACAGTTTAGAACAGAATAAAGTTTCATTGTGCGAGTGTGATTGAGTTTGTCTGAATGTGGTCTTTGCCGGTTTGTTCAGAACTTGTTGCTCAAACATAAAGCATCACCAGGGAAACAGCAATTTAAAAAAAAAAAGTGTTTATGGAAGTTGTTTTATAACCCTTTTTTTTAAGCTCGTCCTTCAAACTTTAAGTGCACAAACATCAACTGCATGGACTTCAACCACTGAAGATTTAATTAGCGCTTGAAAAAAAAACAAGAATTTTTGCTTGTTTAAAAAAACAGACAAGACATGTCATTAAGAAAAGAAATAAATCTATATATTATGCATTTGCAAATACACTTTTTTTTTTTCAAACATGCAGAAATTCTTGAATCTTTCTTTAAATCCCATTTCATGTAACAAGGTTAGTGGCGCCATCTAGTGGTGGAAGTTGCAAAAGTACATTACAGTATTCACAAGTGTTTACTGGACTGAATAAATAAATAAAAGAAGGAATGAACAAATAAATGAAAGATAGAATGATTGATAAATACCGACAGAAAAATGAACTATACCAATAAAGCACAGTTAAAGTGATTAAATAATTTATATTTATTTACTGACCTCTGAGGTTATGGACCTTTCCAGGTGTGAAACAAACATAATACAGACTTTTTCAGATATTCATAGATGATTTATTTTTGTTTTATTTCACCCCTTTATAATACTATGATATGATCACATGCTGTGAAACTGAAATAAAAAGTAATAAACATGTTAAATTTTGGACAGCATAATAAGCACAGCGTCCTCTAAGGCCCTTATAAAGTCACATGACCATGAGCATTCAAACTATCTTAAATATAATGAGTTGTTGTGCAGAGCAGTGGATGAACAGGATTAAATACTAACCGGAAGGTAAGAATCAAACTAAAACCAAAAACTGAACAAACTGAGATCTGTGCTTCTGAGCCAAAGTAGTCCTGTCACGCACCTGAATTCTATTTGTGATTCTCCTTTCGTGATATCATTTAATAAAGTTTAATCTTTCAGTGATGCACTGGAGGGTGAGCATGGCAATTTTCATGATCTTCACAATCTCTGACAGTTTCTGAGCTGTTGCAGAAACTGTCACAGACTGGCTGTCAGTTTTTTTTTTTTTTTTTTCCAGAGCTGGAGTCTCTACAAGTGATGTCACCAGAACAACCAATATGTCCCTGATTTTTGGTATGGCTCATTTCTCATGCTGCAAAATAATTTCCCTCTTTGCTAACTCTGAACAATTCATGCACAAGTTAAGTCTTTACTTAAATAAATGGCTAGAAGCATGAATACCACTTGGCAAATAATGCTCCAGCAGTGAGTAGAGCACGTCTGCTGCTTTTCATGCTCCTGGTGTTCACCAGGGGGCTGCAGGTGTGCCTGGTTGGGTGCCATCTTGGAAGCTGCAGAAAACACTGGACTCCCACAGGTTTATTTGCTGTTCATTCCATAAGCACAGTCAACTAGAAATCAAATCTATTTTTTTTCCCTCATTGGAAAGGAACTCTTAAAAAAAGCAAATAAAGTAAAGCAGTGGAGCTAAAATGTGAAAAATAAAGAACGCAGCCTGTGAAATCTGCAGGTTGCTGAGTGAAACGTTGTGATTTAAAGTAATCACAGGTGGATGGAGGAGAGATGATGGAGTGCTTCAGACATTATTACCACTATGACCCCGACAGGGAGATTGTGGGGCTTGGGAGTGTGCACAGGTGGAGGATGTGATGGGATCCAGTTTCTTTAATCCCCTTTAGGATGAAAAAGATGTTGATTTATGTTTAGACGTGACTAAATGAAGTGGCACCACCTCGGCTGCACTAAGAAATATGAGACACATGTAGTCAGCGAGAGGCTTTTTCATCTCGTCTTTGTGTCTTTGTTGACCTGCATCAGCAAAACTTCTCATGAACCAGAGGGAATGATCAACTGATGAGTTTTTGGAGCTCGATTAAAGATGGCCGCCACAGCCAAGTGACAAGGTCAATTTTACAGACACTGAACTAAAATGGGTGCAAGTGGTAGCTGAGAGTCGTCCTCAACACAGACTCTGAGCACATTGCATAATAAGAGGATTTTAGCTTGAGCTATGGAATGAAAGTTGGCGGGCGATATGCATTCCTACAAGGAGCCCTTGTGTCTTACTATGAAAGATGAGAAAATGCTCAGTTGTCAGTTTAAGGCTTTCCGACCTGAAGATGTCGCTCCACGTCCTGTTATGAAACCAACGCTGCACGCACGCACGCCCTGATGCGCGTGCGCGAGCGACAAGCGGGAGACGGAGCGCTCCTGTCTGCCTCCTCTCCTCTCGCTGCAGCAGCTGCTCTCCCGTCTCTCTGTCTGCTTTTCTTTCTTTCCTCCATCGACCACCCTTCCTCCCTGCCTCCCTCCCCGCGGATGAAACAGCATCCCCGGCAAACGGTGGATCCATCCACAAGGACCGCGCGGACGCAGCGGCTCCGTTTTGATCCCGTCACTGCGGATTGACTTGAAAAGGAGAGAGGAGGATCTGGGACGGGGAGGAGAATCCTGACAGAGTGGGCAAAGATCTCATTTCGGTAAGTCATGGCGTTATTCTTCCATCTGGTCTTGATTGGACTTCTAGAGAAGGGGGGGTGGGGGGTGGTGAAAACAAGGTGTCGTATCTGCAAACGCCTGAGCTTTTGTTTCAGTTTGGAAATGCGCTTTTAAATCTGAGCAGGAGTTCTGGATCCATGAGGATTTGTGGGGACAAACTGGTGGTTTGACACGCGTCCTGATGGTGCACATTCAGCAACACAAGATTTATTTTGTTTGGCTGCACATGATGACCTAAATCCACTCTTTTGTGCGTAAAAGCGCAAACAAAGGTGCAAAAAGGCGCAACAAGGCGGTGGGAATCATCGTGCAATCATCTGTGCTTAAAGTTTTATGGTCGTCAAGTGTTTCCTGTCAGGTTAGTCAGAAATGTCATTTGGATCAGGAGGTGGTTCCCACACGTGCTCTGATCAATAATATCCAGGTGGAGGAGCTGTGTCAGTTTGTCAAGGACACACAATATCACTGAGGTTTTACTAATACAACCTGTGCAACTTACCCTTGTTTTATTTGAGTAGATTATACCAAACAACCTTTAACATTTTTATTTGTATCTTCTCAAAAATTGTCGTTTGAACCATTTTTGCACATTTTTTGTGAACCTTTGTTAGTAAAATTTACTTAAAATTGATTTCTCCACCACCGTAGTGAAATTCAAACCATTAAATAAAGCAAAACTAAAACTAGTCGTCTTTAAGATTTAATAAAACTTTAGAAATATGAAAATATCTGTGCTAAGTATTTATTTAAATAAAAATGTAAAATGCATAAAAATACAAACTGAAAATGGCATTTGCACATTTAATGACTTGTTAAATATTTTAACCTGGATTTTTTTGTTTCATATTTGTGCCAAAATTATGGGAAATTTATAAAAAGTAAAAAAACAAAAACATAAAATACAATATTTGTGGATGTTGTTTAGGAATGCAATTAGAACATTTCTACTTTTAACTTTAATTATTTGTATCCAGAACACACAACTCCTATTTTGTGGTTATTTAAAGACCCAAGGGTGACCAGGGGGTAACAAAAGAGAATCTGACATCTATCAAAACTGGGCGGGGTGATTACTGAATGAGAACAGGTGTGAGAGACAGGAAGCAGAGGACAGTCCTGACCCTGAATCAAAACAGAACCCTGAAATCACCAGGTAACAAAACCCACTGATGGTGAAGAACTGAAAACAACGGCATGGATTGAATACAAAATCATTGATACGCAAATTGATTTACAAAACTAAAAACCAGAAAAACTAATTCAAACACCCAAAACAATAAAACATATGCTTGATTAAAAGTTTAATAACATTTTTTTCTGTTCCAAACATCTTCAAGTGTATCTGCACGATGACACGAGACGGTTGCTTCAAACTTTGGGCTGAGGTGTGCAGATGAAGCTGGTTTTTGTTTCTCTGTGCCAGATAAGCTGCTGTGAGCAGTGGTGGTTCTAGAGGGTGGCATGGAGTGGCACTGGAAAAAAAAAAAGAATCTTTCCATCCCAGTTGCCACCCGACAGTATTTACAGGCTAGTTAAAATCATTTTGTACTGTATACACACGACTGATAATAATAATAATAATAATAATAATAAAACATCTGCACAGAACTTGGATCTAACCCATCAGTTTAGTGCTCAAATACATCCTTCTTGAAATTTAAAATGGTTTCAACCGGAACAGGAAATTTCCAAGTGTCAGATTTGCACATTTATTTATTCATCAAAGTTCATGCTCAATAATCCAGGTAAAGAAATGGACCTGACTGAACACTGTTGGATTTCTTTACCTGGATTATTGAGCATGAACTTTGATGTTTTGAACCACTTTGGCTGTGGTTGCCTGGGAAGAGTCGACGGAGGGAGAGGACAGACCCAGAAACCATTTTACCACCAGCAAACTGGTTGGTCCAGTGTAGTAGCGTACCGCTTGGTGGGTAAAACAGTTTGTATGTGACTTTCAGATTGATGAAAACCTTCGGATGGAGGGTGAAACGTCTCAACAACAACAACAACAACAACAAAAAAAAAAGTAACTGTCCAGATGACCTGACTGAACATTGTTGTGCATGTTGTGATGTACCTGTAATATGCACAAACGACCTGAAAGTAAAAACAGTAAATTTCCTGCATCAATATACCCCCATGCTGGAATCTTGTTCACCACCTTTGCCACCACGAGAAGAAAATCTCTAGCTCCGCCCCTGTCTAGCAGAATCCCATGTAATTCCCCCCAGACTGACCTCTGATGGAAAAATACAAAGACAGGAGTTTTTATTTCTCCTCACAGCTGCAGTCTGCATAACCCAGCACATTTCCAGGCTTTGCCCCCAAATTTTCATAGAACTTCTTTACTTTGAGGATAAGGAGCAGTAAAAAAAAAAAGGGGGGGGCATATCACTGTGGGAACCGTCGGCACAATCTCCCTCCTTTACTCACACGCGCTGACACACTTCATATTCTCTCTAAATTTCCTGAAGATTAGCTCCTTTTTATGCCCGGCGACTGTCTCCAGTGGGCATGAAAAGCCTCGTCCTTCATCACGGACACAGATTAAGCTAATTCACACAGCAGCACAGGCCTAATGCCTAATCACTATGCTGTGCTGGCTGAACAGAAGAGGAAGAGTGCCAGGAGAGGAAGAGGAGGAGGAGAGCAAAGCTAGCCGCCGGTGTCTATTGATCGGGCAGAGGGGATACGGTCAGACGTCCACAGGATGGAGTGCTGACGGCAGTCCAACAAGCCTCCGAGATGAGCTGGCACGGCAGTGGCTTTACGTGCAGAATAATGCTGATGCGAGGAGAAGAAGCTGAATTATGGCTGTCCTCTGGAACAGGGTCAGGGAGGATTTGGAAATGCTGCAAATGTCACGAGCAGATTTCTTTGAATCACCAAAAAAAGAAAAGAAAAGTTGGTTTTGGTACAAACTGCATTTTGATCAGAACCGTTCAATGATTCAAGGTCTTGCATTTATTGAAGAGAAAAGAAAAAAGCCAGAGTTTTAAACTGAAATTGTCTCTAAATATGACCAAGTTTTAGACAGACAGCTAATAATTATGAGAATTTCAGTAAAATCTGTCCAGTTTTGAGATATTTTACTAACAAACGTTTAAGCAAAGATGGTTCGGTATAGCAGTCAGAGTATGTGCAGCTACTACTACACCAAATTTTAGCTCAGTATCTGTAACTTTGACTAAGTTGGTCAATTAGCTGTGGTGGCCATCTTTAATTAAGCTAACTCCAAAAGTCAGGTGACTGCGGATCTACATTCTGAGAGTTTCATTGGGCTCCGTAAGCTATTTCGCCAACAAACAGGGTTGACACACAGTATTATGATATTTTGCTAACAGACGGACAAGCGATTGCACACTCAGAGACAAAAACATGAACATTCTGACATGCGTGGGCTTCAACATCTGCTTCATGTTCTTGGTTCTTCCAGGGTATGTTAGCATCAAGCAGCTAGCTGCCAGCTCATCCACACTTACAGACTTTTTGATTGCATGTTCATGGAACAGGATGCTAATTATCAGCCACAGCAGCCTCATCAATCACACAACCTGATGCTTATTTTGCTGATGGTAACCAGAGACACAGTCACAACATTCAATCCAAGCGGCTCATTGCATGAGGTTCGTGTTCTTTTAGCATTAACTGTTGGTGTAAATCCTGCTGTCTGTAAACAAAGCATCTCATGAACCACTAAATGGAGTTGAAAGTAATTCAAGTTCAATAATCTTTATTATCCCCAAGGGGCAATTTGTTTCACAGCCGGTAAGCACACAAAACATCCAAACTAGACAAGACATTGAGACATTAAAATAACAGAAATCATCACTGTTCGTTGAAAAACGTGATCTCTACATTGATAAATGAGTTTTTCCACTCTGTTCGTTCTACATCTGGGCAGCAGATACCTGCAGATGGAAGCAACCTGAACTCACCGTGGAGTGGATGATCAGGATCTGCCAGAATCAGCCTGGCCTTGTTCACTGACCTCACCTTGTGTAGGTCAGTGAGGCTCTGTAGGGCTATGCCAGCAGTTTTACTGCACATCCTGACAATTCCCGAGAGTTTGTTCCTGCTTTTGCATGTCAACAATTCAAACCAACAGACGAAGGTGAAAGTTAAGAGACTCAATAAAACATGAATAAAACATTCTCATAAAAGTAGAATCAACATTAAAACCACAGAGCTTCCAATAAAAATACATTCTCTGGTGAGCCTTCTTACAAAGTGAGTTCACATTATTATTAGACCTTTATTTATACAGGTTAGTTCCCACTGAGCCTCGAAGACTCATTTGCCATATTTTTTACCATCTTACCCACAACTTGCATGCCCTATGACTTATACGCTGAAGCAACATATTTATGGATTTAACTAGTTTTTGTCTGAGATATGACCGTTTTCATTCAATCTGACTGAAAATATTGGACACTACCATTTTCAGCCTCTAGATCGCACTCTAGCAGTATGGCATGCCATTGAATCATGTAATAGGTAAAAGTGGCTATTAATGATGCAATCGGCTTGCCATAGCTACCACTGTTGTCTGCCTGGAGCAACTGTCAAATCAGCTTCATTTCGTTGCCCCGGCAAAATGCAGCTGATTTGACCATTGAAGTGCATTTATTAAGTAAAAGTTCAACTTACTATAAAGTTGAGCAAACAAATAATTGTTTTTAGGTGGTTATCTTGTTAAATTTCAAAGAAATGCACAGCGCGTCGCCCTCTGCGCATTCATGTTTCCGCGTATCGGCTTTTGAAAATACAGCTCATTTGACCATTGACGTGCTTTTATTAAGGAAAAGTTAGACTGAGACACACCTTTACTATAATTTTGAGCAAACAAATAATTGTTTTTAAGTGTTAATCCTGTTAAAGTCCTCTCGTGCACGCCCCCGCGGCCACCATTTGGCAGCCAATAGATTTTTGGCAGCATAATAGATGCCACGTAGACGGCGAAGCGGCATATTCATGT